CCTTGCTGTATTCTATGTGCAAAATGTACATGAAGGGTCAACAGGTTTTAATATCACTATTTAATTATTTGAAAATAAATTTCAGTCTATTACAGTATATAAACTACAATGTTTTGAAACACTACTACTAGATCAGTTAAGTAAACATTTTTTATACAAGCATACCTCATTGAATGTCTTAAGTTAGCTTAATTACAACTTGTATTTGTCATGAGCTATGCATGAGGAGCCAGGATTATCATGCTTGGTGAAGGAGGGATTTGTCAGCTGCACTATATGCATTAGTACAACAGTTGTAATCCACTGCCCTAATTCAACCTTCTCACACAAACTATCCACCACAATTTTAAACTTTTGACTGGGTTGTTACTTGATCAAATGTATTTATCTTTAGTATATATATGTTTTGTGTAGATGTGGTGAGTTCTTATTTGCTGTGAACTTATAAAACATGAGTATTTTGGAAAAATGTTCATATTTCTTACTGAGTGGGCAAGATTTGAATGAATGGCAACAATCCTAAAACTAGTAAGCCTCCTAGTTTCAGAACTGGCTTGACATGGGGTTAGAATTATGCCCCTTCAGTGAATTTTTACAACTGTGTTATTAGTATTTTGAATCATGTTCATACTTATTCACAAATAACCCACATTTGATGAGGAAACTTTAGATGCCATTTTCATGAATCCTGGACCACCACTAAATCACAACTGAGCAAGAAAAAACACTTGAAAACCAGAGCACAGGTAGGTAAGAGGGAGAGTGAAGTAAATGAAACAGTAGTTGTAGCAACAGTAATAACAGCTGTAACACATATTATTTCAAGCAGTAATAGTAATACTGAACAAACAGTAGTAATAGTGTAAGTATAGTAGTGCTGGTAGTACAAGTAGTGGTAGTTCAAGTAGTAATGATAGGTCAAGCAGCAGTAGTGGTAGATTTAACAGTGATTGTAATAACAGTACAAGTAGTAGTAGTAGTAGTAGTAATAGCACAATAGTATTAATAGTACAAGCAATAGTATTAATAGTACAAGCAAGAGTATTAATAGTACAAGTAGTATTAATAGTAAAAGTAATAGTACAAGCACCATTAGTAATTCAAGAAAAAGTACAGACAGAGGAAGCACTAACAGTAGTAGGTCAGGTAGTAGTAGTAGAATATGTACTAGTAGCACAAGTAATAGTAAAGGTAGCTGAACTAAAAGTACAAATAGTACCAGCACAAATTGTCATAGTAGTAGTAGTAGTAGTAGTAGTAGTAGTAGTAGTAGTAGTAGCAGTAGTAGCAGTAGTAGTAGTAGTAGTAGTAGTAGTAGCAGTAGTAGCAGTAGTAGTAGTAGTAGTAGTAGTAGTAGTAGTAGTAGTAGTAATAGTAGTAGCTAGTAATGCAAGTAGTAATGGTAATAGTACAAGTAACGGAAGTGCAAGTAGTAATGCTGGTAGTAGTACATGTAGTGGTAGCAGTAATGCAAATAGCAGTAGTAGTAGCAGTAATAGTGGTGGTGCAAGTAATAATAATAGTGCAAGTAGTCGTAGTAGCAGTAATAGTGGTGGTGCAAGTAATAATAATAGTGCAAGTAGTCGTAGTAGCAGTAATAGTGCAAATAATAGTAGTAATAGTGCAAGTAACAGTAGTAGTAATAGTGCAAGTAACAGTAGTAGTAATAGTGCAAGTAACAGTAGTAGTAATAGTGCAAGTAACAGTAGTAGTAATAGTGCAAGTAACAGTAGTAGTAATAGTGCAAGTAACAGTAGTAGTAACAGTGTAACAGTAGTAGTAATAGTGCAAGTAACAGTAGTAGTAATAGTGCAAGTAACAGTAGTAGTAATAGTGTAACAGTAGTAGTAATAGTGCAAGTAACAGTAGTAGTAATAGTGCAAGTAACTGTAGTAGTAATAGTGCAAGTAACAGTAGTAGTAATAGTGCAAGTAACAGTAGTAGTAATAGTGCAAGTAACAGTAGTAGTAATAGTGCAAGTAACAGTAGTAGTAATAGTGCAAGTAACAGTAGTAGTAATAGTGCAAGTAACAGTAGTAGTAATAGTGTAACAGTAGTAGTAATAGTGTAACAGTAGTAGTAATAGTGCAAGTAACAGTAGTAGTAATAGTGCAAGTAACAGTAGTAGTAATAGTGTAACAGTAGTAGTAATAGTGCAAGTAACAGTAGTAGTAATAGTGTAACAGTAGTAGTAATAGTGCAAGTAACAGTAGTAGTAATAGTGCAAGTAGTAGTAATAGTGTAACAGTAGTAGTAATAGTGCAAGTAACAGTAGTAGTAATAGTGCAAGTAACAGTAGTAGTAATAGTGTAACAGTAGTAGTAATAGTGTAACAGTAGTAGTAATAGTGCAAGTAACAGTAGTAGTAATAGTGTAAGTAACAGTAGTAGTAATAGTGTAAGTAACAGTAGTAGTAATAGTGCAAGTAACAGTAGTAGCAATAGTGCAAGTAACAGTAGTAGTAATAGTGCAAGTAACAGTAGTAGTAATAGTGCAAGTAACAGTAGTAGTAATAGTGTAACAGTAGTAGTAATAGTGCAAGTAACAGTAGTAGTAATAGTGCAAGTAACAGTAGTAGTAATAGTGCAAGTAACAGTAGCAGTAATAGTGCAAGTAACAGTAGTAGTAATAGTGTAAGTAACAGTAGTAGAAATAGTGCTAGTAACAGTAGTAGTAATAGTGCAAGTAACAGTAGTAGTAATAGTGCAAGTAACAGTAGTAGTAATAGTGCAAGTAACAGTAGTAGTAATAGTGTAACAGTAGTAGTAATAGTGCAAGTAACAGTAGTAGTAATAGAGCAAGTAACAGTAGTAGTAATAGAGCAAGTAACAGTAGTAGTAATAGAGCAGGTAACGGTAGCAGTAGTAATAGAGCAAGTAACAGTAGCAGTAGTAATAGAGCAAGTAACAGTAGTAGTAACAGTGCAAGTAACAGAAGTAGTAATAGAGCAAGTAACAGCAGTAGTAGTAATAGAGCAAGTAACAGTAGTAGTAGTAATAGAGCAAGTAACAGTAGTAGTAACAGTGCAAGTAACAGTAGCAAAAACAGTGCAAGTAACAGTAGTAGTAATAGTGCAAGTTGTAGTAGTATAGTGCAAGTAGTAGTAATAGTGCAATTTGTAGTAACAGTGCAAATTGTAGCAGCAGTAGTAGTAATAGTACAGGTAGTAGTGGTACTGCAAGTAGTAGTAGTAGTAGTATTAGTGCAAGTAGTAGTAGTAGTAGTATTAGTGCAAGTAGTAGTAGTAGTGTAGGTAGTAGGTTGGTAGACAGCAACCGCCCAGGGAGGTACTACCGTCCTGCCAAGTGAGTGTAAAACGAAAGCCTGTAATTGTTTTACATGATGGTAGGATTGCTGGTGTCCATTTTTCTGTCTCATAAACATGCAAGATTTCAGGTACGTCTTGCTACTTCTACTTACACTTAGGTCACACTACACATACATGTACAAGCATATATATACACACCCCTCTGGGTTTTCTAATATTTTCTTACTAGTTCTTGTTCTTGTTGTTTATTTCCTTACCTCCATGGGGAAGTGGAACAGAATTCTTCCTCCGTAAGCCATGCGTGTTGCAGGAGGCAACTAAAATGCCGGGAGCAAGGGGCTAGTAACCTCTTCTCCTGTATATATTACTAAATGTAAAAGGAGAAACTTTTGTTTTTCCTTTTGGGCCACCCCACCTCGGTGGGATACGGCCGGTGTGTTGAAAGAAAGAAAGAAGTAGTAGTAGTATTAGTGCAAGTAGTAGTAGTAGTATTAGTGCAAGTAGTTTTAGTAGTAGTAGTATTAGTGCAAGTAGTAGTAGTAGTATTAGTGCAAGTAGTTTTAGTAGTAGTAGAGCAAATAGTTTTAGTAGTAGTAGTAGTGCAAGTAGTAGTGCTAGCAGTAGTAGTAGTGCAAGTAGTAGTGTTAGCAGTAGTAGTAGTGATAGTGCTAGTAGTAGTAATAACAGTGCTAGTAGTAGTAATAATAGTGCTAGTAGTACCAATAATGCTATTTGTAATAACAGTGCTAGTAGTAATAATGCTAATAGTAATAGTGCTAGTAGTAGTAATAGTGCTAGTAGTAATAATAGTGCTAGTAGTAGTAATAGTGCTAGTAGTAGTAGTAATAGTGCTAGTAGTAGTAGTAATAGTGCTAGTAGTAGTAGTAATAGTGTTAGTAGCAATGATGCTAGTAATAGTAATAGTGCTAGTAGTAGTAATAGTGCAAGTAGTAAATTATATCTTAAGTGGATGGAAAAGCAGGGAACTCCACACAAGGGGTTCTCAAAGGAACACTGCAGCAGGCCTAATAGCCCATATTAGGAGAAAAGCAGAGTAAGTAAGAATAAAGTCCAGGTACAGGAAAAGTGAATGAAATACAGAAGACAGGTCAAGAGACAAGGCAGAAGTCAGGTCAAGTCTAAAGTTTCATCAGTGAATGTTAGTTATTAATAAACTGTTCAAGCTAGAGTACTGTGATTTTTATTCTTAATATTTATTTTAATTTTTTCCTGTCTGTAGATTAAGTATTTTTTGAACATATTCATCAAGAAATGTAGATTTTTTCTATACTGTTAGAACTTGGTAATAAGGTTTGAGTTTCTTTCCTTTTCTTTTTGCATTAAATATGAACAAATCTGTAATCTATTATTCTTGCCATGTTAATAAAAAAAATCCTTAATCAAAAATTTCTCTCAGCCACTCACTAGTCTAGTCCCTTTAAGTCAGATAATAAGAGCGTCCACTGTAAGGAAAAGTTTAAAATGTTAAAACTTTTTTAAAGGTTAGCAGGCTAAAACAATATGGGTAAGTTTAATGTTAGCACATTTTCATGCCTTGCATAACCAAACACATCACTAACAAGCCGTCTTTGTAGTTTTAGTTTACTAAAGAAAGGGCATTAGTTCATTACATCTAAAATATTATTCACAATGGTAGTTACTGTCAAAATGCAATGTAAATAGATTTACTAATTTTTAATTCTTTAAAAGTAAGCCATTACATGGCACCTACCTCTCATCTTTCTCGGCTGGAATGACTCTCTTCCCAATAGTGCTGTCATCATTTTCCTTATTGCTTATCCGTGCTGGAGTTGGTATAGTTCGAGATACCTCCTCTTTTTGGTCTGAAATAGGGATAAAAGTTTCTTACAAACAAGTACATAACCAACAATAATTTTATTTCATATACCTGATATTTCCAATGAAGACAGGATAACTTGCTCCCTAGCTATTATTCCTGAGAGAGTTCAGATAAACACAACATCCCCAACCAGCTTTCAAAGTGTTAATACTTTGAAACCTCTTAAAACTCAAATCTCGTCAACTGGCATTCCAAATACCTTCAAAAATCTTACAAGTTTTGCAAAGTAAAATTTAGAACCAACAATAAAGTTTAATTTTTTTTTTCAACACACCAGCCATCTCTCACCAAGGCAGTGTGACCCAAAAAAGAAACATTTTCACCATCATCACACAATATCACTGTCTTTGCAGGGGCTCCCAGATATAACAGTTTAGGTGTCACTCCAAATAACCAATATCCCAAATCCCTCCTTTAAAGTGCAGGCATTCTACTTCCCACCTCCAGGACTCAAGTCTGGCTAACCGGTTTCCTTGAATCCCTTCACAAAATATTACTCTGCTCACACTCCAACAGCTCATCAGGTCCCAAAAACTATTAGTCTCCATTCACTCCTATGTAACACATTCACACCTTTATCTAAATATTGTTTACTTATATGCTTCAATGTAAACATTGTGTAGGATGGTAAATAGCAAGCACCAAGGGAGGTACTACCATTCTGCCAAATGAGTGTGAAACAGTAATCTGTAACTGTTTTACATAATAGTAGGATTGCTGGTGTCCTTTGTCTCATAAATATGCAAGATAACAAGTACATTTTGTCACTTCAACTTATATTTAGGTCACATTAAACATGCATGTGTTGTACACGTATATGTATACACACCCATCTGAGCTTTCTTCTATCTTTCTTAATAGTCCTTCTTATTTATGGGGAAATGGAAAAGAATCCTCCTGTGTATTGTAACTGAAATGCTGGGAGCAAGTGAGTAGTAACCTCTTCTCCTGTATAAATTACTAAATATAAGAACAATTTCATAAAGTTAGGAAGCTTTACAATTTGATGCCAAATTATGACCACTTTTCGTTTTTTTATTGTTTTCAATTTTTAACACTATGTACACTAGTTTCTTATGATATTGTATGCTTTTCAAGGTGTTTTAGTACTTAAAACATGAGAAATGCATAGCCCAATATTGTTCCATTTGGCATATACAACATAAGTTGGTGTGAATATTTGTTTTATTCTATTTTTTTATTGCTTTGATCTTCTAATGGTATGTACAATGAATACCAATATTAAAATTGTTTCAAGGTGTAATATTCCTGACAACATGGAAGTCACACTGCTTGACTATCCTGGGTTATCCTAGGTAAATCTACATAGTGTACTTTTTAGCTGAATTCCACTGTTAGTATTTAGTATCATGAAATTGCACTGCAGTTGGAAAGAATGAGGCATCTTTCTGTCAGTTCCACAAACAGTTTACTGGTAAGGAACTGGTGGTGGAACAGCAGATACTTAGGCAGTGTTACCCATGATGCACTATGTGGACCCATCTGAACTTATATTTTTTGAAAGACATGAAGAGGTTCCAGGAAACCAAACAGTTGTGCTAAGATCAAAAATATTAGCAAGTGGTTTATTTGAAGGCATACTAGTACATCATACAGTTCCTACCTGAGTACTAATACATCATACACAATTAAGGGGTTAACTGTATTTTCTTTTGAAGGTCCATAAATGTTACGTGCAACTTACCAATTATTATATATTTTTAAGCTGCTCCAAAAAGTTAATCTCATGTAAATTAGCAAATTTGTAAAAGTCTACCAAAAAGAAATCCATTCATTAAGTCAGTAAAGCTAAATATAATGCATTAGCATGCCTAATTAACCATGGATTTTAAATTCTTAATGGATATTATATAGTTATTGAGATAGTGATGAAAGATGAAACCAAGAAACTAGCTAAATTATAAGAAATAGACCAAATTATATGCGCTGAGTCATATCAAGTATCATAAATTATAACCTTAATAACCATGCACTAAAACCCACTTTTGTCTTCTTGGATTGTTTTTCTAAGAGATGAGGGTCTTCTCCAAGACTGAACTTCAGATTCATCCATATTGTTCTCTGCTCGAGCTTGTGGAAGTGTTCGGGCGTTGCTCTTGTCTGATACTGCATTGGTCGGAATGATCTGTGGGGTGGTATTCTCCTTATTGACCTTGTTCTTCTTCTCTGCAAGTCAATAAAAACAATAAGACTATGGCACATATGATAAATATTAATATTGAACTGCCCTCTTTTTAGAAACCTAGTCAGATTCTTTGTGATAATTATGTTTCATGTGCTAATCTCTTAAGGATGTCATCCAACATAAGTACTATATAGTACTTGTTATAGTAAAGATTTTATCTGACTTATAGTGCACAATAAAACTGTTTTGAGTGTTGAAAGATGCATTTTATTTTTTGCACCTGGGACCATGAGAGACTCAGTTGGAACTATATTCCATGTATTCCTACCTAATATCAACCTCTCCTAGTCCCAGTACAGTCTCAGCACTCATTTATAACCCAAACATACTCTGTTGCTTCTGTTTACCGGTCATTACTCTAATGTTGCTGTATGTAGACATCAGATAGAGGTATAAGCCCATCATCTATATTATCAGCTAGGGCAACTGTAATAGGTGGTGAAAACCTAGCCCTCCCCAATGCAGAAATGCATCTTTTAGTGAGAAAAAATGATTTTTTTTTTTTTTTGACCCTGGGGTTCAATTGGAATCATACCACCATCAGCAAGAAAGAGAATGTAGCTGTCTAAAGGAAGTAGGAACCATGCAGGAATAATCAAGAGAAAGGAGCTCAAGAAGTAAGAAGGGTAATTATATCAGATTCAATATCGTGCTGAGAACTGTAAGAGGAATTCCATACTCAGCCTTGGGCAAAATCAACACTAGATGCAATAAGCTAAGGAATGGCATTCTGCAAGTCCAAAATACCCAAGTATTCCAAATGTGCAATGGAACTCAAATAAGTAATAGCAGGTACGCACACAAGCATAATCACAAACAAAGCCCAAACTGCACCTCACCTATAAAAGCCCAGGGGTGACTGACCATGAGAGGCATCTCCCTGTCCATCCACAAAGTAAGGTGCCCCAAATATTTATATCAGGATGCCTTGCCATAATGCTAAGGCTCCTCAGGCACAGGTGGGAGTTCAGCTATCTACAGATGACCCGACATGCCAGGCTCAAATGCCCAGGAGAGCGCAACGATTCAAACCACGTATCCCAATGAATATATCTCACAAATAGTCTTGGAACATGTGGGGTTCCCCCCTATATTTCTTAAAATGAGGCCAGCCTATCAGGTTAAGCAAAACTCATGTTATTGAACTTGTAATTGCCTTAGAATGAAGGGATGCCAGGAAAATAGCATTCGGAGAGTGAGCAGAAGGCACTCCTTTATGAGGAAGATGGCAGGGCCTGCAGAAGCAAGCCAAGTACTGAAGATAGGTGAGCTGCCAGACCTCCAGGATGAAAGGCAGACAACATGAGATGCCAAGTCACAGAACCCCTCATGCCTCTGGTCAGGTGGAAACTGGTGGAGGATAGACACTCACCCATGTGGGTACAGGCCACAGAGATGATAAAGTGAGGCTGTAAGATCGGAGGATGAAATGTTGAGACTAGAAAGACTGAGGTTTATTGGCTGGGCTACTGAGTGAGGAAGGACATGGGGGGTTCCCACAGGACATAGGATGAAGCATATATATGGAGAGGTGGGACTCCACGAGAGGGAGAGAGAGAGAGAGTCCCAGGAGGGTGGCAACAGAAAAAGTGGCAATACCTGTTCTATCCATAAAAGGCATGACCTAACAAGACAGGCCCTAGTCATGTGCCTAACAAAGTGTAAGGTAGAGCCAAATGAACCCTGCCAAACATGGCAATATTCCCTCGAGGGAGGGAAACCATAACTAATAGGATAAGAACAGCCATAAGTCTCAACAGGCATGAGCCCCCTTTTTTTCTTTTGTCTAATTGCCAAGTCCATTTTTTTTTTTAACACACCAATAGACCATTTCACACCAAGGCAGGGCGACTCAGAAAAAAGAAACAAAAGTTTTTCTTCTCAGCAAAATTAACTAATAATACCTCACCCATTTTCTCATTGGCTCTCCTTTGGCACTCCCCCATCGCTCACTTAACCTTCATATACTTTACTTTCTGTATATCATTTCTGCATTATAAAATGCTAAATTTTTCTTCCTTACCACCTTTCTTACCTCCTTGTTCCCCCTATATCCACAAACTCCTGCTGTGCACTCTAGCATTGCCATCTTAAATCTACACCATACCTCTCTGCCTTCCTCCACATTACCTAAACTATCACACCTTTCTCCCAAAATTTGCTTGTATCTTATTGTCTCCTTAAATTCATTAATTTTAACTTTCTCTTACCCACTAATGCCATTTCCCTTGTACTGTATCTACCTCTTTTCCTTACTGCACCTACCACTAAATAATGTTCATATAAATCTGTTGCCCATCTAAAAACATGAAGACAGTCTTTCAGCTATGCTCACATAGTCTAGAAAACCCCTAATACTACATCCTCATCTCATGATTATCTTTTTTGTTTTCTTAAAATATGCATTACCTTTTATTATCAAATTTCTTAAAACGTCACATTATCATTTACTTCTGGCAATTAAAACTTACCGGATCAAATCTCCAGCCAGGAAAGAGAAAAAATAAAGATACTATATCATCTAGGGCAGTCTCTTCCACTTTATTATTTAGGTCTCCCACAACAATTCTCTCATTTGGGCCCAAACTGATTTCCCCTTAATCCCTTCTTAAATGTTATCTTGCTCACGCTCCAAAAGCACCTCAAGTCAAAAAACCCATTTGCCTCCCCTCATTCCTATCTAATGCTCACAAATGCCTGTTGAATGTCCAGACTCCCTCATATACAAAACCTCCTTTACTCCCTCCCTCCAACTTTTCCTAGGATGACCCCTTACCCCAACTTCACTTCACAACAAATTTATACACCCTCCAATATTTTGCTCCATCCTCTCTGAATACTGTTGGAATGTTGGGTTTAAAGTTGTGGTGGCCTAAGGGTCATTGTGTCCATCTTGCTATTGTGAAATTAACTTTCATAATAAATATGTTAAAACAACCATGGAGACATTACACATCTCTGCCTAGAGCATACTTTTACTGGAAAATAATCTCCCTCTCTTCTATACACCTTAACCTGAGCCTCACTATCCTCATGAAAACTCTTTACAGCATTTAGTAACTTACTACTTATTCCATACACTTGCAACACCTACCACCCTATCATATGCCTTTTCTAAAACCACATATGCAATGAAAACTTCCCTACCTAAATATTGTTCATTCATATGCTTCAATGTAAGCACTTGATCTACACATCCCCTACCCATTCTAAAGCCTCTTTGTTCATCTGCAATCCTGCTCTCTGTCTTACCTCTGTCAATAATAACCCTATCATACACTTTACCTGGTATACTCAGTAAACTTATTCCCCTATAATTTTTACAATTTCTTTTGCCCCCTTTCCTTTTACATTAAGGAACTATACACACATTCTGCCAATCCCAAGGTATCTTGCCTTCCTTCATACATTTATTGAATAAAAGTACCAACCACTCCAAAACTAAATCCTCCCCCTACTTTTAACATTTCTTTCATCCCATGAGTTCCAGCTGCTTTACCCCCTTTCATTCTACCCATTGCCTAACACACCTCCCCCACACTCACATCCTGCTCTTCTTCACTCCTAAAAGATATTATACCTCCCTGGCCAATGCATGAAATTACTGCCTCCCTCTCCACCACATTTAACAGTTCAAAATATTCCCACCATCTTCCCAATACCTCCAACTCCCCATCTACTAACTTCTCTATTCTGTTTTTAACTGTCAAATCCATTTGTTCCTTAGGCTCTCTTAACCTATTTATCGCACTTCAAAATATTTTCTTATTCTCAGCAAAATTCGTTGACAGTGCCTCACCCATTCTACCATTTGCTCTTCTTCAGCACTCCCTCACCACTCTCTTCACCTCTCTTTTACTCTCCATATACTCTTCTCTATACCCTATATACTACAAATACAGTGGCCCATCCCCAGTTTTCAGCCAGTGCAGTGCAATTCAGATTTTGAGCACTCTTTTCGGCGAAATTTCCCCCTCGGGTTTCGTACATTGGCTTGGAAATTGATGGTACTAGACGCATCCACCTGAGCCACTCGTAGTTCGTGACTCACTCTTGGGCACAGTAAATGTCTTATTTTATATTAATATAGACATTTTCATTAATCCATCTATGATATTTTCTTCAAAATTATGTATGAAACACATTATATAGCATATAAACATGCCTTTGTTACTCGTTCACTAAGAGTGCCCCTGTAGTCTTAACGCTATAGTAATACTAATAGTACGTAATAATAAATCAATCTTGGGCACAGTAAATGTCTTTTTTTACATTAATATACACATTTTCATTAATCCATCTATGATATTTTCCTCAAAATTATGCAAGAAACACGTTACACAGCATATAAACATGCAATGTTTATATGCGATACATGTTTAATAATAATCACTCTTGGGCACATTAAATGTCTTATTTTAGGTTAATACAGTGGAACATCGGCTTACGAACACCCCACTATGCGAATTTTTCAGGATACGAACTGTTGTTTGGTCGATTTTTTGCTTCTGGATACAAACAAAATTTCAGGATGCAAAGGGAGGTTCCTTAAATAAATAAAATATTTATTTCTTTGCAAAGGTTACAATGTGTGTTTACATATCATAATATGACTGGAGCAAAGAAAGCCACTATCATGCTGAGGCATTTCGGGCAGACTTAACCTAATACTAATAGACTAAAGGCTTGACAGGTGAAAAGTGTACTAGTAGTGGTTATCAATGTTTTGCTGATGGTGGTGCCATCTACTGGCAGCCTTTTGAAGTTTCTCCTTATTGTTGTTGCTATTATTATTATTACAGTGGAACCTCAAAAATCGAACTGCTCCCAACACGACCAATTATGTAAGTGTATTTTTGTAAGTGCTTTTATAAGTGTATTTTTGAGGGTCTGAAATGGACTAATCTAATTTACATTATTCATGATGGGAATAAATTCATTCGGTAAAGGCACTCGAACAGCCTTCTGGACCGAATAAAGTTCGATATTTGAGGTTCCGCTGTATTATTATTATTATTATTATTATTATTATTATTATTATTATTATTATTATTATTATTATTATTATTATTATTATAATATGTACGTGGTGATGGGCTCTTGATCTAGGGAATTGGATCTGTGCTCCAGTTCCCTAAATTAATAATAATAATAATAATAATACAATAGTAGTAATAATAATACAATAGTAATAATAATAATACAGTGGACCCCCGGTTAACGATATTTTTTCACTCCATAAGTATGTTCAGGTGCCAGTACTGACCGAATTTATTCCCATAAGAAATATTGTGAAGTAGATTAGTCCATTTCAGACCCCCAAACATACACGTACAAACGCACTTACATAAATACACTTACATAATTGGTCGCATTCGGAGGTAATCGTTATGCGGGGGTCCACTGTAATATGTTGTCATTTTTAGACATTTTTCGTATTTTTGTTTTTCATATTTTTGTGTCAAATGCTTCAAAATACAAATTGGTAACCCTCTGGGTGGCTGCAGGTAAACCTGCTAGGGCAAGGCTACCTCAGTGCCAACCAAGGGTCAAAAGGAAGGGGAGGTGAGCCGCTGTGAGTGACCGCAGCAGACCCTTGGGATGCATAATTTTGTCTTATATTGTACACATTTCTTACACAATGCCTCACTCAAAGAGACAGTATTCGTGTACAATCAGCAAGAAGCTCAGGAAGCAATTAGAAACTATGAAAAAAGCTAGAGAAATGAAGAAGGCAGCAGCAGAGAGTGAGGCAGCTGGCCACCACCACCGTGGCCGCCGCCATCACCACCACCACCACTATGGCCACAGTGATCACATCTTCACCTATATATACATCTGTCTTGATCACACCTGTGGTTACATGTGTGAAAATCCTCACCAGATAGATAAACACAAGCTAGGTGTGGGGTTATGGACCGGGAAGATACTAGAGTGGGAGAGTAAATGATGGCAGGATACTGCTGCTGGCGTTGCCATCACTCGCCATATTATGTCCTATTTTAATCATTCTAGAGTATATGTTTATATGTTATTAATATTGTTTATGGCATATTAGATGAATTTTGATAGATAACAGTCACAGAGTTGATACAGTGGACCCCCGGTTAACGATATTTTTTCACTCCAGAAGTATGTTCAGGTGCCAGTACTGACCGAATTTGTTCCCATAAGAAATATTGTGAAGTAGATTAGTCCATTTCAGACCCCCAAACATACACGTACAAACACACTTACATAAATACACTTACATAATTGGTCGCATTCGGAGGTGATTGTTAAGCGGGGGTCCACTGTATTAGCATTATTTTATCATGCCTCCTGAGAAACTAGAGCAGATTAATTGCATTTCAATTACATAATTTAAATTAAGAAAATTGACTCAGCATATGAACAAGGTCACAGAATGGATTAATTTTGTAAGTCGAGGTCCCACTGTATAGACATTTTCATTAATCCATCTAAGATACTTTCTTCAAAATTATACTATAAGAAACACGTCACATAGCATACAAACATGCAATGTTTATATGCTATGGGGAATCAAATACAAAATAGGAGTTGGCACAGTTAGTTTTTCCTGATAATACTGTGCTTTTGGGGGATTCTAAAGAAAAGTTGCAAAGGTTAGTGGACGAGTTTGGGAGGGAGGGTGTGTAAAGGTAGAAAGTAGAAAGTGAACATAGATAAGAGTAAGATAATGAGGGTATCAAACAATTTAGATAAAGAAAAACTGGATATCACATTGGAGGGAGGGAGTATGAAGAAGTGAATGTTTTCAGATATTTGGGAGTTGACTTGTCAGCGGATTGGTTTATGAAGGATAAGGTTAACCATAGAATTGATGAAGGAAAAAAGGCGAGTGGTGCATTCAGGTATCTGTAGAGACAAAAAACGTTATCCATGGAGGTAAAGAAGGGAATGTACAAGAGTATAGCGGTATCAACACTCTTATATGGGTGTGAAGCATGGGCTGTATATGCTGCAGTGAGAAGGTGGCTGGAGGCAATGGAGATGTCCTGTCTAAAGGCAATGTGTGGCATAAATATTATGCAGAGAATTCATAGTGTGGAAATTAGGAGGAGGTGTGGAGTTACTAAAAGTATTAGTCAGAGGACTGAAGAGGGGCTGTTGAGATGGTTTGGTCATTTAGAGAGAATGGAACAAAGCAGAATGACTTGGAGAGCTTATAAATCTGTAGGGCAAGGAAGGTGGGTAGGGGTAGGCCCTGAAAAGGTTGGATGAAGGGCACAAAGGTGGTTTTGTGGGTGAGGGGCTTAGACTTCCAGCAAGTGTGCATGAGCATGTTAAGAGTGAATGGAGACCTGATGAGCTGTTGGAGTGTGAGCAGGGAAACTGGTTAGCTGGACTCGAGTCCTGGAAATGGGAAATACAATGCCTCCACTTTAATGAAGGTTTGAGATATTGGCAGCTTGAAGGGACATCTAAACTGTCGTATCTGAATGCCTCTGCAAAGACAGTGATTGTGTGTGAGTGATGGTAAAAGTGTTGAATTAAACACATGTACAACTCTTGGGTATCTTTATTGAGGAAACGTTTCGCCACACAGTGGCTTCATCAGTCCATACAAAGGAGAAACTTGAAGAACAGGAGGAGAATGAGGTAATCAGTCCCTCAGCCTTGAGTCGATGTGGTCAGTCCATCAATCTTGAATAGAATACGGCATATGAGCGGAGAAGCAGCTTATAAACCGTAGACAGGTGAGGGGCAGCAGTTGTAGGTGGTGTCACATTTGTCCATTTGTCCTGTCAGACACTGCAACTTCTTGGGATCTTAATACTTGGGAATTCTTCACTTGCCTAATCCTTGGGCATGACCTACTTCCACATTGGACAAATGTGACACCACCTACGACTGCTGCCCCTCACCTGTCTACGGTTTATAAGCTGCTTCTCCGCTCATATGCTGTATTCTATTCAAGATTGATGGACTGACCACATCGACTCAAGGCTGAGGGACTGATTACCTCATTCTCCTCCTGTTCTTCAAGTTTCTCCTTTGTATGGACTGATGAAGCCACTGTGTGGCAAAACGTTTCCTCAATAAAGATACCCAAGAGTTGCACATGTATCTAATTCAACAACATGTCGGTTCTCTGAACCATTCATCTACGATGGTAAAAGTGTTGAATGATGATTTTTTTTTTCTTTCTTTTTGGGTTTTTCTTTCTTTCTGGGCCACCCTGCCTTGGTGGGAAAAAGCCAACGTGTTAAAAAAAAAATTTGCACTGTCATAAATAAACATCACAACATCAAGAAACTGTCACAATTCTTTAACTATCATATAGGGAAAAAGTCATAGAAGATCGCATCTCAATCAACAGTACACTGTACTACCTACAAAAATAAGATACAACACCTCAAGGGCAATCAGTATTAAAAATCAAACTAAAATTAAATAATACTGATAATTTTAAACTCTTGCTAGAGCCACATTTACATGCTATGCAAACAATCGCCAACTAGCAGTTTAACAAATTATTGCATTCCAGAGCATTTCAAGTTTAGAAATGAGCTATTATCTGACACAAAAGAACCATAAACTAGAAGAGATATGGCTTACACAAAGGATTATTGAGTCAAGAAATCAGTTTTAAAGTAATGTCTGGCACAGCCAGCCCATAGTTTTTTTTTTTTGTTCAATATTCTTATGCATTTTATTTTTACCTGAAATTGACCACTAGATGACATCCTTAAGTGACCAACATTGAAGATATATTGCTATACTAAGTAGTGATCCATTAATAACTCAAATTTTTCTAATGTTTATGCCACAAAACCCAAGGTTGCAAAACAAGTGAAAAATTATGAGTTGCCTTTAATGAATATAAAATAATTTACCATTCTTTAAAATTATGAGCCCAAGAAATTCCAACAACCAGTACCACACTAAAGATATATTTTACAAAACAGCAGGAGTAAGAAACTAGAAACAAAATCTATCATGAAGTTACATTTAAATTTCTGAAACAAAACATTGTTACCTTAATTTTTAAATTTTTACTTTATAATTCAGAAAACAAAATAATTATACAGTGAAACTTCTACCTGCATATTGGTTCTTGGTGGTCATATGTAGTATACAACAAACATTAAGCATACTAAATTTAAAATGAATAATTTTAAAACAACAAACAATACACTGGTATGAGAAGGCCCCTTGAATCACTAGTATTAAGGATTGGGAATAGAATGACACATTTGTCTCACTTAATATTAGCTTTTTTATTAAGAGACCACATTTCTGCTTTACATTATACATTAGTCACCTGGAATAACAGCAAGCGCACATTCACTGTTAAGAGCACACTCAATCCACAGCACCATAATGGACTTAACCATCATCAACCAGTCACTTTATCAGTTAAGTACTCTGGAGGTAGCTTATCTTCTTCACTGAGATAGGTATGGTTAAAGAAGGAAAGAAACCCTTGTCAGAAAATCTCAAGAAACCATCCCTCTCCAGTTGAAATTCAACCAGATAATCACAGTCATTACTGTCTGCTTGTGATGTAATTTACCCTGTCAAAATTTGTGGATATTTGATGTTTATAATTAGGTGGACAGTAAAGACTCCATTGTATACAAAATAAAAAACATGCTGATTAAATTCCTAGTCCCCAGAAACAATGAGTGAGAATTATTACCACCACTGTGACTTACCAACTAGGTATTTCAGAGGACTAAGTGCACGAGTGTATCTACCCAAAACATTCTTAAGCTCCTCCAAATCTTTCTCCTCCCCCTCCTCCTCTTCACTATCTGACTCTGATGAATCACTATTGTCACTACTGGTGGTTTCTTCACTACTTTCCTCATCTTGTTTTTAAGGGGTATTCCAAGTTTCAAGAAGCAGCATGTAAAGGACAAAGCCAAACACCATAATCAACTTTAAAATGTTAAAGCATGTTTTCTTTTTAAAAGCAGTTAATGTCTATCCAATCTAGGTGGATGCTCAAACCATGTCAATGACTTACCATGCAAATAATAGGCAAAATGTCACTTGAAGTGTTGGTATGGTCAAATCGAATCACTAAACACAAATGAATCAGTTCTAATAATTACTGACAGCTAATACATTGTTGTTCTGTTAATTATTAAAGCATTTAATAACGAGTATCACAATCAATACACCTATCAATTTTAGACAGCTCAAAGAGGTAAATAAAATAATTACTCTAACTACAGTGGAATAAATCAAGTTCTTGCAGTTTCCCTCTTACATTAACCCTTTCACTGTCGGTCCCGTAATATTACAGCTAGCAAGCCAGTATCGGTCCAGTAATATTATGCCAAAATTCTAGCGCCTTCAAATCTGCTGGGAGAAAGCTGGTAGGCCTACATATGAGAGAATGGGTCTGTGTGCTCAGTGTGCGCAGTATAAAAGAAATTCAGGGAAGCTGCAGTGCATTGTGAGAGTGCCAATTCAGTACGCCATGTTCACCACGCCTAGCAGTAAGGAATACCTCACTCCCTGGTGAATTGGAACTCTTCCCTTCCCAAGTGATAGCTCTAATACAGATGGAAGTGCAAGTGAAGATGAATTTCATGGTTTTGAGGAGTTTGTGACCGAAAGCAATGCCCAGCATACCAGAAATAGTGATGAAAACCCAGATGACTATCAACCTTCCACCTCTGGTGCTGGGCTGTCTCGTTCATGTTCAGCTGTATCACCGCAAAAGAGGAAACTCCTATTTTCTCATGTCTCAAAGAATAAGTAAGTTTATTCAGGTATACACAAATACAGTTACAGAGATCATCATACATAGCAGCACAAGTGTGCAGAACCTAGGATAACCCAAAAAGACAGACAAAGTGTTTATTTTTTTCAATGTGGGTGCTGGAGAAGACAGCATGAATGGTAGGGAAGACAGCATGGTTGGTGGGGAAGACAGCACGGTTGGTGGGGTGGGGAAGACGGTATGAGTAATGGGTAATGTTACAACTGGGATGGATAATATACATGTGGCAGCAGGTGGTGGTGGTGGTGTAATGCTTCATGTGGCACCAGCAGCACCCCAGGCTGGTAGCCATGCCGCAACAAAAGACACCTTCAACCACCCACATGCCACAACAACAACAACTCACCCACAAAAATGCAGAGACACTCATTTGATGTGTAAGGAGTGTAAAACAGAACTGTGCATAACACCATGTTTCAAAGAGTCCCACAAGTTGCAGCACTTCTAGGAATGTGTCCAGTGACTGTGTGTATATATATATATATTTTTTTTTTTTTAACAAGTCGGTCGTCTCCCACCGAGGCAGGGTGACCCAAAAAAGAAAGAAAATCCCCAAAAAGAAAATACTTTCATCATCATTCAACACTTTCACCACACTCACACATTATCACTGCTTTTGCAGAGGTGCCCAGAATACAACAGTTTAGAAGCATATACGTATAAAGATACACAATATATCCCTCCAAACTGCCAATATCCCAAACCCCTCCTTTAAAGTGCAGGCATTGTACTTCCCATTTCCAGGACTCAAGTCCGACTATATGAAAATAACCGGTTTCCCTGAATCCCTTCACTAAATATTACCCTGCCAACACTCCAAAAGATCGTCAGGTCCCAAGTATCATTCGTCTCCATTCACTCCTATCTAACACGCTCATGCACGCTTGCTGGAAGTCCAAGCCCCTCACCCACAAAACCTCCTTTACCCCCTCTTTCCAACCCTTTCGAGGACGACCCCTACCCCTCTTTCCTTCCCCTATAGATTTATATGCTTTCCATGTCATTCCACTTTGATCCATTCTCTCTAAATGACCAAACCACCTCAACAACCCCTCTTCTGCCCTCTGACTAATGCTTTTATTAACTCCACACCTTCTCCTAATTTCCACACTCCGAATTTTCTGCATAATATTTACACCACACATTGCCCTTAGACAGGACATCTCCACTGCCTCCAACCGTCTCCTCGCTGCTGCATTTACCACCCAAGCTTCACATCCATATAAGAGTGTTGGTACTACTATACTTTCATACATTCCCTTCTTTGCCTCCATAGATAACGTTTTTTGACTCCACATATACCTCAACGCACCACTCACCTTTTTTCCCTCATCAATTCTATGATTAACCTCATCCTTCATAAATCCATCCGCCGACACGTCAACTCCCAAGTATCTGAAAACATTCACTTCTTCCATACTCCTCCTCCCCAATTTGATATCCAATTTTTCTTTATCTAAATCATTTGATACCCTCATCACCTTACTCTTTTCTATGTTCACTTTCAACTTTCTACCTTTACACACATTCTCAAACTCATCCACTAACCTTTGCAATTTTTCTTTAGAATCTCCCATAAGCACAGTATCATCTGCAAAAAGTAACTGTGTCAATTCCCATTTTGAATTTGATTCCCCATAATTTAATCCCACCCCTCTCCCGAACACCCTAGCATTTACTTCTTTTACAACCCCATCTATAAATATATTAAACAACCATGGTGACATTACACATCCCTGTCTAAGACCTACTTTTACCGGGAAGTATTCTCCCTCTCTTCTACACACCCTAACCTGAGCCTCACTATCCTCATAAAAGCTCTTTACAGCATTTAGTAACTTACCACCTATTCCATAAACTTGCAACATCTGCCACATTGCTCCTCTATCCACTATCATATGCCTTTTCTAAATCCATAAATGCAATAAAAACTTAACTACCTTTATCTAAATACTGTTCACATATATGCTTCAATGTAAACACTTGATCTACACATCCCCTACCCACTCTGAAGCCTCCTTGCTCATCCGCAATTCTACATTCTGTCTTACCTCTAATTCTTTCAATTATAACTCTACCGTATACTTTTCCTGGTATACTCAGTAAACTTATTCCTCTATAATTTTTACAATCTCTTTTGTCCCCTTTCCCTTTATATAAAGGGACTATACATGCTCTCCGCCAATCCCTAGGTACCTTCCCCTCTTTCATACATTTATTAAACAAAAGTACCAACCACTCCAACACTATATCTCCCCTGCTTTTAACATTTCTGTCATGATCCCATCAGTTCCAGCTGCTTTACCCCCTTTCATTCTACGTAATGCCTCACGTACCTCCACCACACTTACATTTCGCTCTTCTTCACTCCTAAAAGATGGTATACCTCCCTGGCCAGTGCATGAAATTACCGCCTCCCTTTCTTCCTCAACATTTAAAAGTTCCTCAAAATATTCTCGCCATCTACCTACTACCTCCCTCTCCCCATCTACTAACTCCCCTACTCTGTTTTTAATGGACAAATCCATACTTTCCCTAGGCTTTCTTAACTTGTTTAACTCACTCCAAAATTTTTTCTTATTTTCATTAAAATTTCTTGACAGTGCCTCTCCCACTCTTTCATCTGCTCTCCTTTTGCACTCTCTCACCACTCTCTTCACCTTTCTTTTACTCTCCATATACTCTGCTCTTCTTATAACACTTCTGCTTTGTAAAAACCTCTCGTAAGCTACCTTTTTCTCTTTTATCACACCCTTTACTTCATCATTCCACCAATCACTCCTCTTTCCTCCTGCCCCACCCTCCTATAACCACAAACTTCTGCCCCACATTCTAATACTGCATTTTTAAAACTATTCCAACCCTCTTCAACCCCCCACTACTCATCTTTGCACTAGCCCACCTTTCTGCCAATAGTCGCTTATATCTCGCCTGAACTTCCTCCTCCCTTAGTTTATACACTTTCACCTCCCTCTTACTTGTTGTTGCCACCTTCCTCTTTTCCCATCTACCTCTTACTCTAACTGTAGCTACAACTAAATAATGATCTGACATATCAGTTGCCCCTCTATAAACATGTACATCCTGGAGCCTACCCATCAACCTTTTATCCACCAATACATAATCTAACAAACTACTTTCATTACGTGCTACATCATACCTTGTATATTTATTTATCCTCTTTTTCATAAAATATGTATTATTATTACCAAATTTCTTTCTACACATAGCTCAATTAAAGGCTCCCTATTTACATTTACCCCTGGCACCCCAAATTTACCTACTACTCCCTCCATAACATTTTTACCCACTTTAGCATTGAAATTCCCAACCACCATTACTCTCACACTTGATTCAAAACTCCCACGCATTCACTCAACATTTCCCAGAATCTCTCTCTCTCCTCTACACTTCTTTCTTCTCCAGGTGCATACACGCTTACTATAACCCACTTTTTACATCCAATCTTTATTTTACTCCACATAATCCTTGAATTTATGCATTTGTAGTCCCTCTTTTCCTGCCATAGCTTATCCTTCAACATTATTGCTACTCCTTCTTTAGCTCTAACTCTATTTGAAACCCCTGACCTAATCCCATTTATTCCTCTCCATTGAAACTCTCCCACCCCCTTCAGCTTTGTTTCACTTAAAGCCAGGACATCCAGTTTCCTCTCATTCATAACATCCACAATCATCTCTTTCTTATCATTTGCACAACATCCACGCACATTCAGACTTCCCACTTTGACAATTTTCTTCTTCTTATTCTTTTAGTAATCTTTACAGGAAAAGGGGTTACTAGCCCATTGTTCCCGGCATTTTAGTTGCCTTTTACAACACGCATGGCTTACGGAGGAAAGATTCTTATTCCACTTCCCCATGGATATAAAAGGAAAAGTAATAAGACCAAGAACTATTAAGATAAAATCAAAGAAAACTCAGATGAGTGTGTATAAATAAACGTGTACATGTATGTGTAGTGTGACCTAAGTGTAAGTAGAAGTAGCAAGACGTACCTGTAATCTTGCATATTTATGAGACAGACAAAAGACACCAGCAATCCTACCATCATGTA